AATAACAAGAGCTGTCCAAAAGACGGGACACTCGACTACTGTAAGAAAAGGGGTAAAAAAGTAACCAATGGGTCCTAAAGCCATCATGTGAACAAGCTTCAACCAATTCCTTTCAGCAGTTTAAAAGAATAAAAGTGTTATGTCCAATGACGACAACGTGAGTACAATAGCACTTCCTATTCTTAGAATAGTCAAGCAAAAAATGCACCCTAAATATAAAGATCATTTTACAGAATTATATCACTTAATTTACACAGAAAAAAAGCCTGCATAAGTGTATGTAAATAATAACATTTGTAACCAATCAGAGAATATTATTACTTTACAATTGAACAATTGAGGGGGGGGGGGAAGATGGGAATACCTCCTTTTCCACAATAGATAAAGTCTGCATATACATAATGTATACATAAAAGTAATCAACAGTTATTACAATGATACAAACAATTTCTGTCCAAACTTCCCCGAAATTGTCATAAAATTTTCATAACCATTTCTATATAAACTAATAATACAATGCCGAGTAGTCAATCATTATTTGACTTGTAGAGAAAAAATCAATCTTCTATATAACATGGAGATGGAGATTTATGGCATGTACTGGTTCATCAGATAATATCCCAGATAAGATACTGGTTCATCATAAGATACTGTCTTTGTATGGAAATTAAGTAACATGATATAATTATATTTTGCTATAATAAGAGTTCTGTTATTTTTGTTCCAATCTTCTTGCACTTGCAGATTAGCTTTAAGTCACTGTTTCAAACCCAATCAGATTTTAAATCAAGGAAAATTATCTTATATCTTTGTTGGTTGGTTGGTTGGCTGGCTCAGGCTGGCTGGTTGGCTTTGGTTTGGTGTTGGGAGTTGGGGATTTGATTTGATTGATTTTGTTCCAGTATTTCAAAACTTACACGGCAAGTATTTCTTCTTACTTTTTTGGGAAACAACCCATGTCTTTTAAATTGGGAAAGTTAAACAAATTTAAATTAACTAAGTATTTAAACATTCAGTGATAAAATTTGGTTTAAAACTATTTAGCTGGCAAGGTGAAAATCAATATTCCGAGAATTTACTAATTTAATTTTGATAATTTCAACAATTTTGTCAACTAAGGAATTTCAGATGGTCAACCATTTTTTTAACAAAATAATCACTGAAACATTCACTGACAATTTTTCAACATAAATCATTTACAACAGTAAACATCAAGCTTTATGATTACCCATAACCACACTGAATAAATAATTCCACTTCCTGTTTTGGCCAGAAAGGTACACAAGTTAAAGTATATAGGCTCCAAAGAAAGGTGAGCAGGCGATTGTAATCGCAAGGCATGGTACACACTTGTAAGATTTTGTCCATCCACTGTGGACATGCATTATGTGCTTTTCACAGGACTCAAACTGGTTCATAGGCAACTGAGAATAGGCAGGCTATATAAAGATATTGCAGCAATTGATAAAATACCTAGCACTAGAATAATTCAATCCTTTGCTTGTTCTTAATAAATGCTTTTATATGGATACCATCATTTCAGGATCTGTGATTTTTTTTATTATATTAAACATACATTTAAGTAACTAACCCCTACAAAATAACAATAGTATTACCATTAACTAATATATATGTAGTACCCTCATAAAGAAAAGGAGAACAAAAGTTTCTCTCTCTCAAATTCCCACAAAATATTTTCTTTTTTTTTCTTTTATGCAAGGCATCAAAACTTGGATTTTTCTATGGGATTTTCCTGTAGAAGAGCCTTTTACCAGAGATATAAAGCAACAAACAGCAGCTGTACATTCCAGGTACTTTACTCCACTTTACTACAGGCAAATTATCAATGTAATGATATTAGATCAAGAGGCAATTTGTGAACAGTTATAAAATAATACAGCTCATTCTGCGGCACTTAAACCACTAATATATACATATTGATTGTCGGCTGATTTGTCTGTTGTATTCAGTATTCACCCTCACCCCCCTCCGCCTACTCCCCCCCCCTCCAGGTTCTCCCCCCATGGCCCTGCTGCCAAATTTCTACACTTCTACTAAAATACTATATGGAGTAATGTTTGTTTGATTATATAGATATACATATATAAGTGCAGGGCAAATTGTCACTGAATGTCGCGACATCTATATATCATCGATTATTCACTATTTTAAATCAATATCGATTCAAAATTTAGAATATCGATACAAATTTTAATACAATTTCTCCCTGTCTTGTGAAAATATCTCTTTATTGAGTGTGACAAGAGATGTCACGTCTTGTCTATTTTCTTGGCTAGCTTCAACTCTGAATCTCTTAGTGTAATAATAACAAGAAAACATAAAAAAAATTACTTTCTTTCAATGTATTGTATTTGTGATTGCTAAATACACCAGGATGATAATTTATAACATAATCATGTTTAAATGGTACGTTTCCCCTGTGTGTTTCTAGCTAAGATATAAGTTACATGTTATATGACCCTAAATAAACAAAAAATCATATGTAGTGAGGGTTATATAATAAATAACTGTTTATATACAGCATTATAATCTGTCAAGAATCTTTATAATGAAGTTATAATACAGCAAACTTCCTTTATTTGAGAAAAAAATATGAAATTACTTCATAATTTGACAGCAGCTGTGTATATAGTTAATATAAACGCCACAATTTAACCAATGAAAAGCGACATTACAAATGTGCAGTATATCAATGACAGCCCTAAGGTGAGTAACCCTGCATTTCAGGTTTCAGGGTATAACTCTTAATTTGCTGGAACTAAAACATGATAAGCCTTTCTGGCTTTGCCACCTGGCGTGTCTATACTTTAGTACAGTCTGACCAGGCTCTTAGTATTAATAATTCAATTAATTTAAACGTCCTAAAACTTTGAGGAGACAATTCCAAATTCAAACAGTTTAATATTTGTAATGTTATTCCTAACTTAAAGCTACATGTTTCAAGAGGAGAAAACAAAATTTATTTTCCTTTTTTTTTAGTTTGTAAGAAGAATTGAGAAATGTATTCCTCATACGTGGGCCCAGGTAGGATCTTCAATTGACTGGTTCAAAATTAATTCAATCAATAATTCATTCTATTCTGTTTTATGAACTTGTATTACATGTGATTTTTTTATTGTTTTATTATAAACAAATAAATTGTAAATTTCTACTATCAAGAGAGCCCTATAACCTTTTTTAAGGCTTTTGACTAAACGAGAACAAATTATCTGTTCAAAGGTTTACAAAGAAAATAAAACAGACAAATAAATTGATGTATTTAAAGAGATTTAGAGATAATGATTTGACTATGATGAATGATCTTCAGACCCTATTCAGCCTATAATACATGTTAATAATTTTTCCTCTCATTCACAGTCAGTAAATTTTATTGCCTTATTTATCTAAAATGATCCTCCAAGGTGGAATTGCTTACAGGGTCTCTTTTTCAGTTCATGGTAATTTGTATTTCATTTCTCACAATTCAATTTATATGGAATTGTATTACTTCTATGTTTCATGTTTATTTTATTTTTATTAGATTTACATTTCATTTGAAATACATGTACACTACCAGGTTCAGATATATATCAATTTAGAATATGGCTAAGTTCGCAATGACTTTAATTAGTTTACAAAATTTACTAAATTATATTATTACTAAATCCAGGTTAAATTATAAACACTGATCAAAGTTGTACATATACATTGCATTTCATTTGTTTTAACTGCATTTTACAGCCAAAAACACATCTCAACAGGTACTTACTACATGCACAAAATAATGGGTGTTGAATTGCAAGATCTGGACTGCATCCAGATAATTTCATCAGATATTGGTAAACAAACAAATGATTTAAAGTTAATTATTTTAATGCTGGCAAGCAATAATTTTGAGCTTGCCTTCCTTTATGCCACTAGTATAGCCATGCCAACACATCCATGAAACTTATTGTGAACAGTAGTGCACTGGAACAGGTTAACACATCTATTGTGAACAGCAGTGCATTGGAACAGTTTAACTTATCTACTGTGAACAGCAGTGCACTTGAATAGGATAACTTATCTACTGTGAACAGTAGTACACTGGAACAGGTTAACATATCTACTGTGAACAGTAGTGCACTGGAACAGGTTAACTTATCTACTGTGAACAGTTGTGCACTTGAATAGGATAACTTATCTACTGTGAACAGTTAGTGCACCTGGAACAGGTTAACTTATCTACTTGTGAAACAGTAGCCGCACTGGACAGGTTAACTTATTGCTACTTGATAACAGTAGCGCCACTGGAACAGGTCAACATATCTTACTGTGAACAGTGTAGTGCACTGGAACAGGTTAACTTTATATACTGTGAACAGTGTAGTGCACTGGAACAGGTTAACTTATTATACTGTGAACAGTGTAGTGCACTGGAACAGGTTAACTTATCTACTGTGAACAGTAATGCACTGGAACAGGTTAACATATCTACTGTGAACAGTAGTGCACTGGAACAGGTTAACTTATCTACTGTGAACAGTAGTGCACTTGAACAGGTTAACATATCTACTGTGAACAGTAGTGCACTGGAACAGGTTAACATATCTACTGTGAACAGTAGTGCACTGGAACAGGTTAACTTATCTACTGTGAACAGTAGTGCACTGGAACAGGTTAACATATCTACTGTGAACAGTGTAGTGCACTGGAACATAGCTATTGTGAACAGTATTGTGGACAGAAGTTTACCATGAAGCTTAACTGAAAGTTTGTTTAACTTAGGGATTGTCTTTGAAAAAACCTACATTTGCAACATGCAATAAATTTGTAAAAGATGAAGCTAGGTTTAAAGTAGGATAATTTCATTTACCAGTGTAAAGGTGAACTGGTGAACTCAATTTAATTTTAAATTCATGGGAAGAGATAACATGTGAAATTTCAATCATTATTTCAATTTTCATGACAGGACACGCATAATAAAAATTACATTAGAGATATTAAAACTTTAAACATACCCAATGAGCTGAAAAATAAAGGCCAACAATTTTCCCTTTGAGTTCTTCTAAGGCATCAACCTCTTTGCCTTCTTTTAATAATTTCCCCTTGATGATGTCACCAAATTTTTTCCGTCGCCATGGAAACTCTGTACCATTTTCATCCTCCATCAAGTGCGAGTATCCTTCGCGAGTTATTGTCTGCCCTGTTTCCGCATCTATCAGGACTAGTTTTGGAATACCCTGCACTCGAAATTTCTTACACAGCTTTCCCTGAAAACCATAATATTACAATTCATTTTTAAAACCTGACATACCAATTCAATAAAGTCTCATGTACATTGTATTTGTAAAAAGAAAAAAACAAGTGCTGTCAGCAGGACAATGTCCTCGACTATTCTTAGTGCTTAAGTATGGATAATACAAAAAAATTTAATTTCAAAAAGGGTCATAATTCAGTCAAATCAAAGTTAGAGTTATTGGCCTTGAATAGTACCCTCCTAGCCTACTCTCAAATAAGTATGTTCAGTTTCCCTTCAGTAATTTTAGAGATATATAGACTGTAATATGTATTCTGAATGCGGTGGACATGAATGGATTGGCAGACCTTATTTACGTTACAATAAACTTGTAAACTTGTACAAATGTATTTTTACTCATATGAAAACTATTAATAGTTTAATAATATCTAAAATATTATCTAACTAACAACAGGAGTAAATGAATCAAATTGATAATGCTTCTTTACTCTCAATTGTGAAAACATTCCTTCTTGGCAAAACGTTCCTTGCTCGAAAAAAAGAAAATATGGCTTATAGATATTTTTTTCCTGATTTGTTTATGTATTAGTGCTTCCAAAAGAAATTGGCAATAACTATAAAACTTGAGGAGTTGAGTGCCGTTATATGAAGGATGCACCACTTCATAAACGTACAAATTTATTTTCCAGCACGCAAAAATCTCAAGCACCCCAATATGCATTTCCATGGCAACGAGTTATATTAAGTAGATAGTTTGAGGATTAATTGTAAGGGACATATTGAATATCTATCAACAGCCTACAGCATACATCAAATCACCGCTTTCATCAGCTGTAAATAAAAAAACAAACTTGTTTTATCAAGGAGAAATTCTGTCTCGTCTTGCTCTGATTTTCAACAGCACACTAGGTAACTGAAGATATTAGGTATATGATGAGTGAGGATGTTAGCTATATGAATAGTACTGTACAAGTAACCATTATTTTGGGGGGAATCAAATCAAATCAAATATTTAAATTGAAACAAAGAGGGCCATGATGGCCCTGAGGTCGCTCACCTGTATATAGGCCCCCCCCCAACCCACCCCCCCCCCCCAACGTTGCAGAGCCAATTTAACCAAAGGGCTTTTATTTGCACAAACTTGGTAGACACCCATAAGAAGATGTTTCATGCTAAACATTTAAGCTCTAGCTCATTGGGCTTTTTAAAAAAGATTTTTTTAAAGTTTTTACTATACACATATAGTTAAAAACAATGACACCCCTGGGCCGGGCCAGTTTTGACCCCAGGGCTTTTATTTGAACAAACTTTGTAGACACTTACTAGAAGATGTTTCATGCTTAATATCTGAACTCTAGCTTTTTGGGTTTTTTTCAAAGAAGATTTAAAGTTTTTGCTAAACACATATAAAGAAAATCAATGACCCCCGGCGCGGGCCAATTTTGACCCCTGGGCTTGTATTTGAACAAACTTGGTAGACACCTATTAGAACATGTTTGATGCTCAATATCTTAGCCATAGCTCTTTGAGTTCTTTAAAAGAAGATTTTTAAGTTTTTACTATATGCATTTAGGGAAAATCAATGACCCCCCGGGGCGGGGCCAATTTTCACCCCAGGGCTTTTATTTGAAAAAACTTGGTAGACACCATTAGAACATGTTTCATGCTAAATATCTTAGCTCTAGCTCTTTGGGTTCTTTAAAAGAAAAATTTTTTAAGTTTTTACTATATGCATATAGGGAAAATCAATGACCCCCCGGGCGGGGCCAATTTTGACCCCAGGGCTTTTATTTGAACAAACTTGGTAGACACACACTAGAAGATGTTTCATGCCAAATATCTAAGCTCTAGCTCTTTGAGTTCTTTAAAAAGAAGATTTTTAAGTTTTTACTATATGCATATAGGGAAAATCAATGACCCCCGGGGCAGGGCCAATTTTCACCCCAGGGCTTTTATTTGAACAAACTTGGTAGACAACCCATTTAGAACATGTTTCATGCTAAATATCTTAGCTCTAGCTCTTTGGGTTCTTTAAAAGAAGATTTTTTAAGTTTTTTACTATATGCATATTAGGAAAATCAATGACCCCCGGGGCGGGGCCAATTTTCAACCCAGGGCTTTTATTTGAACAAACTTGGTAGACACCCATTAGAACATGTTTCATGCTAAATATCTTAGCTCTAGCTCTTTGGGTTCTTTAAAAGAAGATTTTTTAAGTTTTTACTATATGCATATATAGGGAAAATCAATGACCCCCCGGGGCTGGGCCAATTTTGACCCCAGGGCTTTTATTTGAACAAACTTGGTAGACACTCACTAGAAGATGTTTCATGCCAAATATCTAAGCTCTAGCTCTTATGGTTTTTTAAAAGAAGATATTTAAAGTTTTTTCTTTCGGTTGCCATGGCAGCCAGAGTTTTGCATGGAATTAAATTCTTTGAACAATTTTTTAAGGTGACCACCAAAGGAACATTCCTGTGAAGTTTGGATGAAATTGGCTTAGTGGTTTATGAGGAGATGTCATTTAAAGTAAAAGTTTACGGACGGATGGACGGACGGACGGACGCCAGACGAAAAGCGATCACAAAAGCTCACCCTGTCACTTTGTGACAGGTGAGCTAAAAAAGCATAAAAAATATAGATTTTGAAAATTGTACATAGATCAACTGGGATACCTAAAACAGAAAACATGATAATTTAATAGTGCATGTAATATAAAGAAATATGTACTCAGAATTGCATTGAATATCCATATTTATTGCAATTTTAAGCTTGATTTGAGTAACAAGCCTTTGAATGCTTTACTTTTCCAGGTAATTTTGATTAAAAAATATTATTTAAAAAAAAAACTGAATGAGGGGATGACACAATCAAATGACTTACATCAAAAGATAAAATATTACAAAAGTATTTACTTAGTTCTAAAATGGTGACATTGAAAGCGTAATCACTTTCCTTTATAAAGATTCAATAAATGTTTTTGAGTTTTTTCCACAATAATCAACATGTCTATTCTTTTTATTTGGTTTTAATTGATTTAAGAAAAATGATAAACAGTAAAACAGTACACCAGAGTTAAATGAAGCATGATAGCATAACTGTTTCCTTGATGAGTTAACCAAAATTTCTAGGTAAAATTTACATTTGAGTTTACTCTCTGGCATATAGGAGTATATTCTTTGCATGTCTAAGAAAGCATAAGAATATGCACACACTGTCTTATTTGGTAGATTCAGTTACAATTTATATTAGTGTTACTCTTCCTACATGTACCATATTCAAAACTGTTCAAGAGTCCCATTTTGATAATGAAATGTCCAAAATACTAAGTAAACTTCACCTAATCAGCTATTCTTTTATGGAAGACAATACTTTATTATCCAAAAACAAACAAAAAAACGCACACCAATCATCAGGGCTCTCTGGTTTTGTGGAAACACTCATTGAATACCTTTATCTGTGTGAACAGTACCTCTATCTATGGGAGGGGGAATTCTAACATTGTTAATAATTATGTATTTTATTTTGTAATACTATAGTGTGCTAGTATTTCGAAAGGTTATTACTAAAAGGCACATAATTATATATAGGCACCAAAATTGGTGAATTAACGGCCCTGATCACAATTGTAATAATAATTTTCATAATAATCCTCATCTGAAGAAGATACATGTACCGGGTACATGTTCGTAACTTATAATGTTTTACAAAGTTTGTTAATTCTTTCCAAATTTTCTCAAGGTAAAAGGCAATTTCCTGTACATTGTATAAAATTAATATTGTAACAAACAAAACAAGAAACATCGCAATGCGATGCAACCAGGTTTTCAGCAAAATATTTCACAGAAGCTTTGTCATGAAGGGGCATTTTTTTTTATAGAACTTTTAGGAGGAATTATGGCTTTTTTAATATTCCTCAAACAAAAATGATTGAGAAATTTTATGTTGTCTATTCGCCTTTTTTTCCCAAATGTTTTAGAAAGGTAAACAGTACTTTATTTTTGCTTAATTTTTACATTTTTGCGTCTCTTGTCATTTTCTTTTGTCAACAATATTGGCGTGTGTGTGTTTGTGTGCGAATATCAAGAAAAGTATGTTTTACAATTTTAAAAAATACTTGAATGATGTCTTGGAAGAAACATGGGAATTTAGTGAGCGCCAGGGCACTTGATGACAAAGCTTCTGTGAAAGTTTGGTCAAAATCCATTGAGAAATGTAGGAGAAGTTGCGCACTGTAGAAATTGTTCACTATATATTCTGTATAAGGAAAAAATATACAAGGGCCATAATTTGGTCAAATATTATCCAATCACAAAACCCCGACAATATGTGCCAGGCACTTGAAAACAAAGCTTCTAAGAAAGTTTGGTCAAAATCCGTTGAGAAAATGTAGGAGGAGTTGAGCACAGAAGAAATTGTTCTCTATATATTCTGTATAAGGAAAAAAATATACAAAGGGCCATAATTCGGTCAAATATTATCCAATCACAAAACCCCGACAATATGTGCCAGGCACTTGATAACAAAGCTTCTAAGAAGTTTGGTCAAAATCCGTTGAGAAATGTAGGAGGAGTTGCGCACAGAAGAAATTGTTCACTATATATTCTATATAAGAAAAAACAAAGGGCCATAATTAGGTCAAATATATACCAATCGCAAAACCCTGGCAATATGTGTCAGGGCACTTGATGACAAAGCTTCTGAGAAAGTTTGGTCAAAATCCATTGAGAAATGTAGGAGGAGTTGCGCACAGAAGAAATTGTTCACTATATATATTTATATAAGGAAAAAACAAAGGGCCATAATTTAGGTCAAATATTATCTAATTCGCAAAACCCCCACAATATACGCCAGGGCACTTGATGACAAAGCTTCTGTGAAAGTTTGGTCAAAATCCGTTGAGAAATGTAGGAGGAGTTGCGCACAGAAGAAATTGTTCACTATATATTCTATATAAGGAAAAAAAAACAAAGGGCCATAATTAGGTCAAATATTATCTAATCGCAAACCCCGACAATATGCGCCAGGGCACTTGATGACAAAGCTTCTAAGAAAGTTTGGTCAAAATCCGTTGAGAAATGTAGGAGGAGTTGCGCACAGAAGAAATTGTTCACTATATATTCTATATAAGGAAAAAAAACAAAGGCCATAATTAGGTCAAATATATACCAATCGCAAAACCCTGGCAATATGTGTCAGGGCACTTGATGACATTGCTTCTGAGATAGTTTGGTCAAAATCCGTTAAGAAATGTAGGAGGAGTTGCGCACAGAAGAAATTGTTCACTATATATTTTATATAAGGAAAAAAAACAAAGGGCCATAATTAGGTCAAATATTATCTAATCGCAAAACCCCGACAATTATGCGCCAGGGCACTTGATGACAAAGCTTCTGTGAAAGTTTGGTCAAAATCCGTTGAGAAATGTAGGAGGAGTTGCCGCACAGAAGAAATTGTTCAATATATATTCTTATATAAGGAAAAAAAACAAAGGGCCATAATTAGGTCAAATATATACCAATCGCAAAACCCTGGCAATATGTGTCAGGGCACTTGATGACACATTGCTTCTGAGATAGTTTGGTCAAAATCCGTTAAGAAATGTAGGAGGAGTTGCGCACAGAAGAAATTGTTCACTATATATTTTATATAAGGAAAAAAAACAAAGGGCCATAATTAGGTCAAATATTATCTAATCGCAAAACCCCGACAATATGCGCCAGGGCCACTTGATGACAAAGCTTCTGTTGAAAGTTTGGTCAAAATCCGTTGAGAAATGTAGGAGGAGTTTGTGCACAGAAGAAATTGTTTACGCCCGCCCGTTCCGCCCATCCGCCGCCCGCCCGCCCGCCCGCCCGCCGACATACCTCAATCTAATAACCAGTTTTTTCCTTCGGAAAACCTGGTTAAAAATGTTTTAAAAAAAATTTCAAAAGGAGCCTTTTCTTTCAAATTCATTAAATTCAAGAAGTTCAAATTTGAAACCTCTCTACATACCAGATTATAAATGTGTTCACAAACATTTTTAGATTGGAGAAACCGATATTTTTTCTGCCAGGAGGGAAAAACTTCTATTTCTATGCACAGACTATCTGATTAATGTTTAACACTGATAGTTAATGTCTAAAGATAAACATTTCAAGATATCACACTCCATGGTAGATCTTTTTACTCTCTATAGTGAAAATGTATGAATTTTTAAAACATTCTTGCTGTATGATTTTCTACTTCCAAGACAAGATTGTTATTATACACTTCTCAATTACATGTATATTTATATGTTTTCTAGAAGCCAGTGAACATCTTACGATAGTCATCAACAGTAAGGGCATTCTTCAACATTTTGCAATGATAAAAGAATCCTAAAAACTGTTAAATTGTGGTTCTAAGAGCACTGACATCACCCTTAAACTTCTGAATTCGTGAAAATAGCAATGCTTTTTTGAATCTGGAACAGTCCTATGAAAGTGCAAGGGATTTCCTTATCAAAGCACACAAAAAAATGATCTACAAGCAGAATAGAGTCTGGCCAAAATCCATGGATAGGCAGGCCAACTTGGCAAAAGGCTAATTAACTTAAGACTTAAGAGATGAGCTGAAGATCCAAAACCATAATCTTTTTAATTTTTTGAAAATGCAAGCCCTAGATTGTCTGGTAGATTTTTTTGTTGTTATAAATTCCATATACAGTATTTTGAATGTTGTAAATTTAAAGTTCAAGTGAAAAGATAAAGAAAGAATTTCAAAATATACAATTAATTACTTCTTATTGAGGTTTAAGTAAACAATGCATGAAAACTGTGTAATTAAATAGTAAAAAGAAAAACCTCATTCTGTAATATTGCTTTTATTAGTCTGGTTGTTTAAGCAATAAGCTATAACCATTTCCTAAGCCCCAATGGAGCTGCTTAACAAAATGCTTATAGCACAGAAATCAATTGATTTTTTATTTTGTTTAAGGAGCTGCTGAGTTTTAAGGCTGAAAACCTGACAAGGACATATAGCCTCCAATTAACAAGGATTTGATGTCATACATTAACGCCATTTACATGTATGGCTGAAATTGTAGTAGCATTATCTAATGTTAATTTTTTATTGAAAAAGTAAAAATGAGAACCACACAATGTCAGACTGCCTATGCCCAGCTTAAATTGACCCTTAACTTCATCCCCATTCATTGTTGAATCTAAGCCTGTGACCAGTTCCCCTGAATTTTTCACTAGTTGATTCTGAACATATCAATATATAATCAATGTTGTAAACATTTGATTTTCAGTCCAAATTTGGGCACAGAACTGTCACCATGACCGTGAGCTGCATGTACATAGTCCTGAAGTTCCTGACATGGTCTAAGAATTTCAACTGTGCCCTCTGACCTTTATAATATACAGTTACACTTGTTATATACACAGTGACAGTGAGTGACACTAAAAAGAAAAATTTTCAATTTTGTTTTGTTATCCAAAAATGTTAAAAATAACAAGGAATGAATTCAACTTGAAGCATTATTATTATTGTTATTGCATGTATCCTTTTTCTATATAAAGGATAAAAGAAATTGACTAAAACTTTTCTTTTAAAGAAATGAGAAACTGACAAACAAATACAGCAGGAAATTAAAAAGAAGATATATACATGTACATGTATATGACAAATTGTCATGACAGTTTCATACATTTTGTATCAATATCATCCTAAAGTCCATTAAATGAATAAAATAGTAGTAGCTCAAGTTAATTAATTTGGTCAAATCTATGGACTATAAAATTATGTACCTGTATACATGTATTCCCGTTTTTTTTTCTATCTTACATGTTCATCATTTTTTCTAAATGCATGAAAAACCAATAGTTTAAATAGTTTATACTAAATAAGTCTTATTTATAAAAGTTCCTTTGTAAAACAAGTTTTGCATTTACATTAATCATTTACCAGGGCTTCCATTAAGTTTTTGACAGACTGCAAAATGTCTGACATTGAAAGTAACATTATGGATTACCCACATTATAATCTCTAGATATTTAAAGAAGGAATAGCATAACATTTTGGAAGTCAAAAGCTAAAGTAAAGTAATGGACTAAGCCTGACCAACCTTCTGAGATTAGTTAACTTTATCAGTAGCAGAAGATGAACTGAGCCTGGAATCACATGAGGAAAATGGTATCTTACTATTTTTTTAATGTACTTGGCTACATTTTATCATCGTTGATATCAGTGGTGCTTTAACAGCCTCTTACAATTTTCACTAATAATCAAAGTCCATATGCATGCAGCAATGACTACTTGCATATGCTTCATTTATTCTGGAACTTACTTATCTACTCTACACCACATCCTCAAAGTTGAAAAGTCTAGGTTGCAACAGTAAATTTTACATCACTTTTATTAATTTATATATAAAATAAATCAGTTGTATAAACACTGCACTTTAGCATCAACAATTTACTAATCAGTTGATTATTTGACTATCAAAATTGTTTCAGACAACAGCCGCATATAAAAAAAGTCTTTGGAACAAAAACTTCTCCAAAAGTTTTGTATTAAATATATAACAAAAACTTCTCCAAAAGTTTTGTATTAAATATATAACAAAAGTAAAATAATATTTAATCAGATAATAAGATATTAATAAATTATATAAGATTATCCAATCAAGCAAAAAAACTTAATAAACTTTAACAATTATGATATACAAACTTAAAGTAGATCTTCTGAGACAAAGTAAAATCCCCTTTAAGTTTTAAATTTATTTTTATTAAATTTAAGGTATATTTTAGTATATCACAAGTATCAGAATAATTTTGGCATAAAAAGGAGTGAAACGTCTAAACGTCTTCAAGACGTTTCACTCCCAAATGGGAGTGAAATCAAGACGTTTCAATCCCATTTGATAGTTAAACGTCTTTGTGTGAACCGTCCAAATAGTGAAATGTCTGTCTACCCAAATAAGTTTTACCTTTTTTGCATGTCCAAATGGCTGTGCTAGCCATGGCATTGTTTTAAAATATTCTGCAAATGTATTGTCATCTTTATCCCAGCTAACAAAAACTATTTCAAATTTACATCCTTCTTCCTTTTCGTGTATTTTTTTGTAAAACTCCACTAATTTTGGGGTAAATCCTTTGCATGGAGGACACCACTCGGCTGAAAAATAAATTCCAATCACCCTGTCTTTTCCACAAAGCGAACTAACAGCAACTTTTTCGCTTGGATTTCGAATAACATAATCACCAAGTAAATTTTCCAGCGTTCTTGCCATGTTAAGCTTAATCCTTGATGGATTCTTTTGCAAAAATAATATCCGCGCAACGCGACACAGACAACAACACCTGCACCCGGGGAATTCCAAGGAATCTATATTTAGATTTTGTGACGTCATGTCTGAGTTTGAATCAAAGTGCGAAACGGTATTTATTTTCACGAAATGAAAATGTTGAACGATAATACCGAATCTGAGTGGCAGTGAAGCAACAGAGAAGATAATTAAAAAAGAATGGTTTTAAAGAGTTTTTTGTTCTATCTTATTTAGTAATTTACTTAGAAAGCACCACATAACTTTAGTTTCATTAAAATTCTATACAGTATTTTATTATTGATTATGTACATGTATTATTTTTCCAGTATGCTTGAATTTTTGTTTGCTTATTGTCAGCTTTTTGCGAAGATTGCTTATTGAGGAGGCTGCTGATCACTTCTTGCAAATTTTGAATTGGGGATTTTTATTTATAAAACCTAATTAGTGGTAACAGTTTTGTGATCCTTTTCATTTTCAATATCGTATTTCCTTTCTTTTATAGCAGTCCAGGCTAGGCCTGGGTCAAGATCAGCAGTATCCACCCACTTTTAATGTAATCTTATTTTATGTATGTGCTAATAAATTCCGCATTTTATCTAGATATATATTATTTTTATTCACTTATGATACAGTATAGAACTTTTAAGCATATCCTTAGCATATCATTACTATTTATTAATTATTATTATTTTATTTTAAATTATAACATTTAGTGTCTACATCCCATATTATAGTAATTTAACTTATCTTTTACCATTTGTCTTTCAAAGTTTAATATCTTAATGTGCTTCTTTTATGAGTTTTATGTTTATATCATTATGCATGTATGTCGGTCAAAAGCTATACATAGCTTATGTTTTGTAAAATGTTATATATGTATACCGACAATAAATAAATTTTGATTTGATTTGATTTTGAGTAACTTGAGTAAGGTACTGTACAGTCCAGTAGTCTACGAAATGTTAGTGTACTACGTACAGATTGCAAACACACTCTGCCCTCCCACGGATTTATATTACATTTGTTATATAAATCCGTGATAAATGTTACCTTTTGCAAATATAGTGTACTTTAAACCTCTATTTCCCATGCTCAAAATTCATTCAGTAGATGCCCCTGCTTATTTGAGTGAACATTTCATTCCAACATTTTTTTCCATATTTTAGCACTAGATTTAGGGTAAAACCTCAAATGACCTGTCGAAGGAATTTTCTGACAGTGGCCACTATTGCATTTTGATGGTCGAATGTTTGAAATAGACAAAAGCATTCGTTTATTAAGTTGTACGTTGTGGAATGAGCTTCATCTAAATAGAAGAGATATTAAATCAGTTGGTTCCAGGTCACTGATAAGGAATGTCTATTCGAGCCTGCAGCATTTAAGTTCTGCCATTTTGGATTTTCTTTAGGGATTCTATTTCGCTCTGCTTAAATATACTTTTATTTGGATTAGACCCAGTATTCCCTGTTTTTCATTTTAATTTTTAATTTAATTTTTTATATGATATCTTATAAATACTTGTTTTATTTGGATCACAAAATGCTCATAAAATCTTTTAATTCTTATTTTCTATTTTGCATATTCTGTGATATATATGTATAAAAATGGTGACACTCAGTCTCTTACTATATCACACAATACTTTATCTCAAGGACCACATTGAGGTGGAAATAAGATTTTGTTCCAACTCATTGAACATTGTGTAATCGTTGATATATCAATTTGTTTGACGTGCTACGGTATTTTTAAATTCTTACATCTTGTATATGTTTATTTTTTTTGTTTATAATGTGCCATGTGATTCCATTACACACTTAAATATATCTATCTTTTTGTGGTATAGATTCTTTATTCCAATAGCTGCTCTTGTATACAAATGTATGACTAAGAATTTTTTTATATGCAACATGTATAAGAAATAAATTTTCCACGTTAAGAACAAACGTCGATTACTCATACTTCATATTTGGCATGGTTTAGTGTATAACATTTAATTGCTATTATATGTAATGCGTGTACATTATTTACTCTATGCTGCCCTGTTAGACTAAATGTTGGTGTCAATTGCATGTTGTACTATAGCTACGTAGATCGGCACCAACGCTCCTCAGTTGTATATGTCGACAACGTGAATCATATGAAGACATCAAACAAATATGGCTCTTGAAGTGCGGTGTTAGTAAGAGAAATCAGACAGTAACATTAGATTGTTTTTAAGCGCAAAAGGCAATAACTGCTAGGGGGCGTGGACGGTAGTTTGCATTTGACAGTACCGTCCATGAACAGGCTCAATCAAACCGAGCCTGCAACATTTTCATTTTTGCCGTGTTGGGCTTTCTTTAGGGATCCTTATTTCTCTCTATTTTATAGAGTCAAACGTGTTGGTTCTTATGTACTGCATGTCTTCTGTAGGAGGTCTTTATATTACTGACATTAACGAAATGTCAATGACTTAAATAAATACTTTGTTCTTCGAAAAAATAGTGACAATAACGAAAAAGAAAGCAAAGTGAATTCAATAGCGCGAAAAAGATGATTACATATCAATTAATGGTCTACTTTTTCAAATCTTCTCAATACAATCAATAACTTTGTGAATCTTCAAGAATAACTTTGAAAATGTTCGAGATATCATTATTTACAACGAAATTCAATTATTTTTCATGTGCTAAATGTCCATTAGTCTCTAAAATGTTTATATACTAGGCAACACCTTGTCCCTTGTCTTACAACTGCGCCTTGTCGTGATAATAATTTATTCAAAGTTTCATGTTAATGTCTATAAAAGTATTTGATCAATGGGTTACATTAAAAGTTTGCACCACGAATACATAAACGGCCAAGCTATCATAATATATCTTGACTTTTTTTTCTTGAAACAAACACACAAGTGGTGTATAATTATTGCACACCTAACGTGACTGTGACTCTGTTTATACATGTATATTATTATATTATTTCATGTACAACACGTACTCATGGGCAATGGGCATAATTAATTGGCAATATGTATTTATTCCGGAAATAAATCTTTTGAAAATTATAACATTTTAATTATAAAAACATTATTAAACATATATACTTTCGTGAATCTGATATTTAGATTAAATCATATAAAGCACGTACCACTGATCTTAATCAGATAGTGATTAATACACCTTTCTATTCAGAACTGAGATATAATTATATCCATCATAATTATATAGAAATAACCATTAGTTTTTAAGTACGCTATAAGCAATATAGTACATATGAAATATATGAAATTTATTATCATGACACAGGCAATTGTCGTGTTGCCATTTAAATCACCTTCTTTATGACTTGCTATTATATAGATTGGACGTTCTTTATATAATGATTCTATTTTTCTCTGTTTAATCTCATAATACAATTTTCACAAATCAAATTATTATCTTAACAATATGAGCAGATATTAATTTCTTTAAATCAGTTATCAACAATTACACAATTAATCATTTGCAATAAATGAGTGGTGGTTGTATCAATTAACAAATTCAAAACGACATATTTATATGGTTATTATTTCTATAATTTGATTTGATTTATATTTTATATAAGATTCAATCTACTTCATTGAATCTTGAAAATAATAATAAAGTCATTGGGAAAAGATTAGCTTTTTTAACCTAAAATTATGAGCAATTGACCTTAAAATAACGATGTAATTGGATTATGGTTAGGAATCAGCTTAATTGAGTTTGTAGGTTAAAGAGTCATAGATAGAATCGAACAGAATAGATATATAAAACGTATCTTAGTCAAGTCCAATACAAATGTATAATGATTAAGGTGATACTTATTACTTATCAAATTACTTGAATACTTAATATTGTCACCGCCCTTTCCCAGACCCTCCCTCTGATTCATTCCTCTACATCCCAATCTTTTTGTTGACCTTTTGATTTATTGTCTTCTTTAATATCCTTGTCGGTATCTAAATTTCAGCTTTGTAGTTTTGTTGAATTTGTCTCCGATGCATTCTCCTTAAATGCCCATTGTACAAACTTTTAATTATCGGTAACATTTACCTTCTGATCTAAAAGCTATTTCAGCTTATACAATGCAACATAATATAACTTAATTCTGTGTAAAAACTTTAAAGAAACTTAAAACTTCATTGACTACTTAAAAGATAACTGAGTTATATAGCTTAAAAGAAGTCCGTTAACAATCCTCCAGAAACCGTCATTTCTTCTTGTCGTACTTGCGTAGTTTCTTGTATGATAATAGTCTTCGGAACAAACAGAAAATGTTGACTCGTTAAAAGCACGCACTTTGTCATTTATCAGTTTCATTGGGTAATTTACAATGTATTCGTTATTTCCAAGAGTGATATTACGGGAAATAATGAAAATTTCTCCGGGTCTTACACGGATGTCATTGCTTGGCAATTGTACCTGGAAAAAGGTAAAGTATTCGACGTACTAATATGAGTTAAAGCAACTAATACTGTCGGCATTGTAGAAAACATGTAAAATTGTAACGATTTTTAAATCGTATATTGATTAAGAAAAACAAATGTACATTTGAAATATGGTCATTGTAGATGACTTGCATTAAATATTGGTAACATACTTACTGATATTATTGGCAATATTCATCAGAATAACATTATTTTCGGAACAAAATTTATTAAAAAGGAATATGCTAATAATATCAAATAGCCCTACTGGTATTCAAAATATAAATCAAAACGGTATTTGAAATAAACGTTATAAGGTAACTTAATATCTGTTGTACAGTTTTTACATAAACATTATCTATACCATTACCTGATTACAAAAGTAAGGCTTCTTCAGGTTAATACCAACGTATTTAAAATCGGAGACACTAGTTGGACCTTCTGCTAATTTTGTGTACAAAGCATTGTCAGCCGGAGCTTCTGTGAAAGTAGATTTTCCATCTGGCGGCCATTTTGTCTTTCTTGCCTGTCCATCTTGAATATATACATTGTATTTATCAAAATACGAATCGAATCTATAAACTTTGTTCCACAATTTAACCTCCCAGACGCCAGTAGCACATTTATGGAATAAAGGAATAATAACGGATGGATCCATCCCAGTGTAATAATCAAAAGATTTCCAAACTCTTGCAATGAGTGACGTTACATATCTTGATGTTTCGTTTCCATTTGCCTTTTGATTTATTGTATTCACCGAGGTGGAATAAAACAGTTCAACACTTGAAATCCTTACTTTACGGCATGGTACTTTCAACAACATTAATGGCCTTCGTCGCTCCTCGTGTCCAAGTAATAGCAGATCTGTTTCAGCTAGCATGGTTCCAGTTTTTGGTAGAAGCTTGATTTGAATCATCGCCCATGGGGCAAACCACTTCAATGCAAAATAAGTGCAACCATTTGGAGTTCGAAACATTCCTTCTGGGCAGTAAATCGGCTGACACATATCCTGAAAATAAAGAAAGCTTGGGGTATATTTTCTTTTTCATTTTCTTTTTCAATTTGTGATTGTTATATACAATTTCAAATTTAACTACAAAAAATGTATAAGAAAAAAGCAAATTTACTAGAAACATGAATAAATTTATTTAGATAACCCAATAGGATTTGATGGCGCAAAATTTAGTTACCAGTTCTTATTTTAGAAACTAAAAAAAACAAGCTTCCATTACGTTTTTAATTAAAGACAGAAGGAATGTCATTTGCAACAGTTTTACTTTGTTGAATGAAAAATGGACCCCATGCATACAACTATCATTGGAAATTTGAAGAAAACAAAAGCATGCACGAGAGTACAAATAAAAAATCTAACAAACAGTTTCTTTTAAGTATTTACATTTTAATACCTTTATTTCTTCATAAGGATCACAATATAATTTAGTTATCATCAAATCCTTTGCCGTTTGCATGTCAGACATGTCGAGAATATCTATAACTTCTTTGTTTAAAAGCATTGTCAATTTAGGAATTCCAGGTTCTTTCATTGAGGCCCGTTCACATGTTGTACCAATATATTTGACTTCCATTCCAGTACAAAGTTGACAGGCGACATTGTCGAAAATTTTACCGTAGGTACTACGATAAGTTGAACGGAGATGCTTACACGTGTAGGACCACACATTGCTCAAATCGCACTTTTCAACAGCAACAGTTTTCTTATAACAGCGTTTGTCAGACCAATTTTCATTTATAGGCGGAACATAAAGGTAGGTTCCTAAGTGATTATTCAAACTAATCGGAATGCTATGATCAAGCGAGTCTAAATGTTGAAAGGCAGGTCTGTATAAATAATTCCAAGCTTTTGTCTTGTACATGTTTACTGAATTACACATTGCACACTCTTTGTTTATGAATATAACACTTTTATCAAAGTTGGAAACAGGTGCAAATGTGGATTTTCCATGACTGTCGGTATAATTACATCGCCTTCTTATATCAGTATCAACTTTATCGAAGTTACAACTTTGAACCATAAGATAACCGTTCTTCATCACATCCGTTTGCACATAATTATTTACTCTGACGACTGCATCAACACAAGCAACTTTCCCTCTTGCTTCAAGTTTATACTGGTCGAGGTCTTCAAAACAACAGTCTAAACTTAATCCACAATCTTTGTCACAAGAGCACGAAGAACAACATGAAACAAGATTTTCTCCGCTCAACACTCGCGAGGCAGGTTTGTTGCAGATGTGCGCATAGGGACATAAGTCGTAAACTATTTCCGGTATATGAGTGTCGTTTGGGTGCAGCGCCAGCACAATTTTGAACATTACTATATTCAGTAACAATTTCCATAATATCCAAGCTGATGTCATTTTCATATTTTTTCCTGGGGAGTATCTTATCTAGATAAAAAAGGAAAAAACCTTATTTCCTTCGTATTTTCACAAGTACATCTTATTAAAAATTTCTTCAAATATCGATCTTAATTAAGTCTGATACAAATAATGAATGTAGTTTAGTTAGTTCTATATTCAAATTGCAATTTCCTAGAGAGAAGAACCTCCAATGCTCTGTCACACTTTAATCAAGTATAATAGAGCAACCTATTCAAAAAGCTACATTATTTATTATCCACGCCCTAAGATATCATTTTATAGGATTCAATTAGTTTCTATGAAAAACGCTAGCCAATCATTGATGAGAAATCTAGATTTCTCAAGAAAATGAATATTTTACTGATAAGTATAATATCATAGCATCTAATAAAGTCGTCAGACATTAAGAGCCGCATAAATTAATAACAGATAATTAAATGACAAGCACTATAGGTAATTCAACGAGCACAGTATTGATTTTAATAATAATGCTTTTAAGTATTGTGGCATTGTTGTTTTTAACTAAACTAAACTTCCTATTTATTTAGTATTGTGCATATGATTAGTCTGGACAAGGCAGTCTTTTTATTACATTGTACTAAGATAAATATGCATCGATATTGAAAGAAAATGCAAACGTTTTGAACTGATCTAGCTTATTTCCTTATCCTTTATGAATATGAATCTTAAAGGAGATGACTACCATGAGCTATTGTACATGTAGCTCTCGGTCCAATTCCTTTCTGCTTAAATTGTAAATTATTAACATGTATATATACCTTGAATAAAAATATGTTTAAACCAATGAATCTTACTTTCACAGAATATGTTTATGGTTGTTTTCGTAATTGCATCTTTTTTCTTGTTTTATTCTTACATTTTTTTTACAAAAAAGTTTCATCATATGTAATCATATTTGTTACAAATCATTTTATGAGAGGGTGCATAATTAATGTTCTTTCTTATTATTAAATTATGAAGCAAATATTTATATAAATTGTTGTTTTTTTCGAAGTCGAGTGTTATAAACGCACATTCCGTTGGGTCCTGCATACAAATGCCTCACTAAGGAAATCTATCTGTACAAAAAATACATAATGGTTTACAGAATCTCTAAAGAACGCCCAAAACAACAATAAAATTGAAAAAAAAAATGTTGCAGTCTTAGTCTGATTGAGCCTGTTCATGGAAAGTAATGGAAAGTGCAATGTACTGTCAACGCCTCCTAGCACCGGATTTACATTCAAAATTTAAACATTAAAATGGTGAAATTTTGAAATAAGAAAGATCCGTAGATGTGATATTTAATGTGACTCGCACTGCCATTTCATTAAAAGCGGCGTACGGTCTCAATCAAATTACGGAAATGAAATGTTAATTGAGATTTTTTTATAACGTGAGAACATTACAACATTCATACTCACGGTATACTGAAGGTGAAAACTACCGTTTGTATGTGTAAATCATTACTTTTAATTGCAACCACCTGCATGTAGGTATATTTTATTTAGTGGTGTACAACCATAAAAATGCCGCTGTACAACTATAATACCGAATACTGGAAAATAGTCAATCTGTCACGTGATTTTGATCATGTGATGTTTTATTTGTCAAGATGGCTGACAGGGGGAGGTCTGTCAACATTGTATAAAAATTGTCGATTTCACAGAGACAATGATTAAGACAGCATTCACAATTTTGAAATTTTAAAATATTTGTCAAAGTTATATCAGACCACTTCATGCCTGCTAACTCGTGTCCTCCGATAGTGTAAACACTGCCTGTTACGTCAAAAAATATTCTGCCATTTCTGGTTTTAGGAATGAGCGACAGGCCAAAATTCCAACTTATTGCACTACGCATTGAAATATTGTACTATTTTTGTATGGGCAATATCTGCCAGAATCTACCCTTGGCACATCAAACAACCATTTAATTTTATATAGGGCTATATAACCTACAATCTTTGACAGACACAATTGTTTCCATTGATCTAAAGCTCTGCATACATGTAGTTGAATGACAGACTATTCTCTCCCTTACCAGTTCCTCTCCCTGACGGTTCTCTCCCTAACCGTTTCCTCCCCTGATGGTTCTCTCCCAAATTTGAAATATGCAGACAGTTCTCCCCCCATTTTTTTTATAAGTTATCATTTTTATCACTTACTGTAATCTAAAATATTTCTTAATGAAGATTATTTAAAGAATGTGTTTGATATTAACAGCATTTTATGTTTTATGTTAATTAGCTGAAAAGTGTTCGTAAATTTAACACCTTTTTTCAGTATTTTAATCCTATCAACACCTTCATTGTGAGAGATATAGATTATTGGACAATGATTGGACACCTGTAATTATGTTAAGGTCTAGCTTGTAAATACTTATTCATCAATGCCTTTTTACAACTATTTTAATCTAATCAACACCTTGATTCTTGTGTAATGAATTAATAACCATCTCAATTATCACTGACAGCAAACCTAACGCATGTGTGTATTGAACTCCTTTTTTCATTCTACAAAAGTATGAAATTTAGCAATTATAATTCATTTATCATTTTTTGTTTATAAATTTCATATTTATTTATTAAAAAATAAAAATATCTTATGATTATCCTAATCAGGTTAATTATTCATTACTTATTTTCAATGGCAAAACACATTAAAAAGTATACATTACATCTAATTTAAAAAATCAGAATAATTAACTAATATGCTAAAAAAAGTTTTTCTAATTTAATTTATATCAATTGAAAATAAAGTTACCAATTTATTAAACATCTAAATAATTCATTAAAGTATTTCTCTCTCTAATATATATATATCATTCTATAATAAACTTAGCCTACCCATTAATGATTTATTTAACATCTAAAGACTAAACACTTCAGTAAAATCTTTTTTTTTCCTAATATATATCAATGATTGAATTATAAACTTACCCATTTATTTATCATCTAAATACTTTAATAATAATGTAATAATAAAAATAAGAATGGGGAGGAACTGTCTGCTTATTTGCAAATATGCAGACGGTTCTCCCCCAAAATAGGGAGAGAACCGTCAGGGAGGAAACGTCAGGGGAGGAACTGGAAAGGGAGAGAATAGTCTGACTACCCATGTAGTTTTACATTGTATCTTGTACATTGTATATTTATCTGTCACATATGATTATATTTTGACATAACTGTTCAATTGACTTAAATAAACCTGTGATTTTTCATATTTCAATTATTTTTTTCAGGCGAGGTGATGCAGTGTTTTTTATCTATGACCATAACATGTTAAAGAAGGAGGAAGATGATTTGAAAGATGCTATACTTTTCTTTACACCTGATAATGTATGACATTGATTTACAATTTACAAGTTTTGAAACTTTTCATTATCATTTGAACCTATTGAGTATTCATATGTTCAAATGGACCCTATTTGTGATTGGAAGTTTACTTCTCATATATATTTCTATGTCGATGAAAATTATAATACTTGTGACTAAATCATGAAGATTTAAATGTCACTTAAGTTATAACTTACATGCAGTTGAGATAATTCAATTTTTTTATCAAAGAGTTTTAACTTGCCGATTTGAGTAATTATGCTACTGTTAATAATGGCCTTATATTTTATAAATGTTTTGTGTGAATCAATATATCTCATAAACCATTTAAAGTACATATACATGTATTCAAACAAAACTTAACACAAATTCATTTCTTCCAGATAATAAATTAATGATAAATCCAAGGGCAGTTAAAGCCAATGTATTTGTATTTAGCAATTTAGAAATATATCTTTAATAGATTTAACCAAAATAAAAAATTTGGTATGCAATTTCATTCGATAGCTTGTGTCTTATAAAAACACAGTGGTACAGCTTTTTGTAATGAGCTGTTCGGTTAGCTCAGTAGGTAGAGTGTTGGACTGTGAATCGTGTGACACGGGTTCAATTCCAGGACAGAGCAGGTCACTTTCATTGTGATTGATCATGAAATAATTTCTACAGTCATTTGTACTGTACCTCTGTTTTGGCATGTACAGAGGTTGCAGTTCCTTGCGGAAAGGAATCCAAGAGTCACTGGTCCAATTCTTGGGCCAGGCAAAATTTCTGCATGACCATTGATCCTGGACATTGAATGTAATGGTCATTTGTCTCTCACAGCTGATTTGAGTAATAGTTAGTTACTTGTGGAGAAATTGGTAATATGATACTAGTTTGATATCCAGGAAAGCCAGTAAAATGGACCAATAGCAAAAATATGACTAAAAACTTGTTAAAATGGGTGTTACATAATACATGTAACTGAAGTGCTGGGAGCAGAACCATAACGAGATTGTTAACATTTCAGTATAGCATTGATGACCAATGTGCTCTTTGTGGACAGTTGATGGGCATTTCCGAGTTTCTTCAGGTAACATTAAGCAGATCTGCACCTCGTGTTTTCCGGTTTGAGCATGATAAATTTGCTTTGAAGAGGACTGGAGCATATACTTTTGTAAGCATGGAAATAATTTTTTTCAAGAAATATTCTTACATTTATTTATATTGTTTATGTAAAGTTATTCAAATGGCTAAAAAATTGCAAAATTTTGTTATGATTTGTGTTATTAAAGTTCTTACTGGTTCTATATTGCATCAGGAACTCTGAAACAAAAGCTAGGGCTTCAATTTCAGCAAAAAGATAACTGTACTTAGCAATACTTTAATGAAAAAATATCGACAATGTAAATAAAAAACTGTAAGATAGTTGGATGGTATATTGAATAATATTCATTTTCTGAACTTTTGTGTCCATGGTAACTCAGCTATGTGTGCAAAACTTTAATTTTTCATTTTAATATCTCAAAAATTGAAAGTGGAAAGCTCCAAAGGTGAAAGCTGGTGTTGTCCATTTATAGAAAATATCAGCAGGTTAAGTGTTAACTGTGAGGGTGCCTTATTGATGTTAGTCTAAAAAAATAATTATTTTATATATTGCAGTGTTTGAAAGGTGGAAGTTTTATACCTGACTCTTTATTGTTCACACAGTTGACATCACTATATGAGACTTTCATAACATACCATGGCAGTATAGATAGTCTTAAATTGGTGAGTAATGAAATTTAGTACACATGTTACTATAAATAGTAACATAATACTCAAGAATTGGTACTGCGTGTCTGCGTATAGTAACACATTGCTTGTGTTTTCAACTTTTCATGGATTTATGTCTATTATACTAACTAAGTTTTTCAAACCATTGTTACTACTTAACATGTTACTATAAATAGTAACAAAATACTCAAGAATTGGTACTGCGTGTCTGCGTATAGTAACACAATGCTCATGTTTATTGTGACCGCTTTACGTGTATTACATTTCACTAAGTTTTAGAACCATTGTTACTACATAATACATGTAATTATTATGTTATTAAGCACAAACATTTCCCAAATAATTTTCTATTTCAGAGATGTAAAGAATCAGTTACAGGGTTTCTACAGGAGTTAGGAAATATTTGGAGAACCATTCTTCAAGTGTCAAAAGTTTTCCGTGGATACACTCTAGAACAGACATTCCAATCTGTTCCATATATTGAACTTCCTAAGGTAACTAATTTTTAGAATAAACTTGAATTACCATTTCTGTCAAAATAAATTTTCTTTCAGAATATTTTCTTTTTTCTGTACTTGCCTTGATATAAGTCATTGTTCATAATCATGGTACTTGGTAAAGGTCCTCATTCCCATACATGTGAACTTTTTTTTATGGTAAAGTGGGTGATTTTAGAAATTGCAATAAACAAAGAATTAAGTTCTGAGATCAAAAATAGGGAGATTTCTTTAATTTGTGAAAATACCCCTTATTTTAAGAAAAATCTTTGAAAATATGGCTGCAGAAAGTGGGAGTCTCCCGCTAAAAGTGGGAGAGTTCACATGTATGCATTCCTAGTTAAGTCTTTAAGACTCCCTGAAATGGAGAGACTTTCACAAAATCAGAACAGTTTTTCTAACATGCAAGACTTTTTTTTATAAACAACACAAGTTGCAAATATTCATCTGAATTTAATACACTTATTATAATTTACGAATTAAAAATGCTTGCCACGGATATGTGTTTTCCAATGGTTTCAAGTTATTGGTTATTAAAACAAACAAAATCATCTTTAAGACTGCAAAAAAAGCATGTTACTCTTGGAATTCTCAATTTTTTTAAAGGTTTCTGCTTTCTAAAGATTTACTGTAATTGGTTTTACTTTATATTTTACAGAGCGGCTCACATCTGTTCCTGCAAGCATCACATCTTTTACAATCTAGCCAAAGGAGACCGTATGTTTTAGCTGGGACTATACTTTACAAAAATGGGTACATTTATGCTTTTTTTTACTTTCTTTAAAAAAATATATTGTTTTTGGATTTAAAATTTAAGATTAGACTTAAACACTTTACTTCTTCCTGATTATACTATAAGAAAAAATGTTCTTTAACAACAAAAACATTGCATGTAGACTGAGTCTGTCATAATTATATTTTTAAACTCAGTTTTGATTATACAAAGCATATCTCATAGTATGTTTATAACAAATGTTAATCTTTGACATGACTAAATCTATTTGTTGATATGATGTGAAATTGTAAATTCCTTTGTTAAGTTGTGGTCCACAGATAAAATCTAAAATGTATTGTTATCTTCCAATATCTTTTTAGGAAATTTAAAAAAGAAAATATGTAAATAAATGAAAACAACAACAACTTTAGTATGACATTTTTATCACAATACAAATAAAAATTCTACTGATAACAGACAGTCAAATTTAGCTTTATAATTTTCCTTTTTAACCAGGTTTTCCGAAGGAAAAAACTGGTTATTAGATTAAGGTATGTCGGCGGGGCGGGCGGGCGGGCGGATGGGCGGACGGGCGGGCGTAAACAATTTCTTCTGTGCGCAACTCCTCCTACATTTCTCAACGGATTTTGACCAAACTTTCACAGAAGCTTTGTCATCAAGTGCCCTGGCGCATATTGTCGGGGTTTTGCGATTAGATAATATTTGACCTAATTATGGCCCTTTGTTTTTTTTCCTTATATAAAATATATAGTGAACAATTTCTTCTGTGCGCAACTCCTCCTACATTTCTCAACGGATTTTGACCAAACTTTCTCAGAAGCTTTGTCATCAAGTGCCCTGACACATATTGCCAGTGTTTTGCGATTGGTATATATTTGACCTAATTATGGCCCTTTGTTTTTTTTCCTTATATAGAATATAATAGTGAACAATTTCTTCTGTGCGCAACTCCTCCTACATTTTCTCAACGGATTTTGACCAAACTTTCACAGAAGCTTTGTCATCAAGTGCCCTGGCGCATATTGTCGGGGTTTTGCGATTAGATAATATTTGACCTAATTATGGCCCTTTGTTTTTTTTCCTTATATAAAATATATAGTGAACAATTTCTTCTGTGCGCAACTCCTCCTACATTTCTCAACGGATTTTGACCAAACTTTCTCAGAAGCTTTGTCATCAAGTGCCCTGACACATATTGCCAGGGTTTTGCGATTGGTATATATTTGACCTAATTATGGCCCTTTGTTTTTTTTTTCCTTATATAGAATATATAGTGAACAATTTCTTCTGTGCGCAACTCCTCCTACATTTCTCAACGGATTTTGACCAAACTTTCTTAGAAGCTTTGTTATCAAGTGCCTGGCACATATTGTCGGGTTTTGTGATTGGATAATATTTGACCGAATTATGGCCCTTTGTATATTTTTTTCCTTATACAGAATATATAGAGAACAATTTCTTCTGTGCTTAACTCCTCCTACATTTCTCAACGGATTTTGACCAAACTTTCTTAGAAGCTTTGTTTTCAAGTGCCTGGCACATATTGTCGGGGTTTTGTGATTGGATAATATTTGACCGAATTATGGCCCTTTGTATATTTTTTCCTTATACAGAATATATAGTGAACAATTTCTACAGTGCGCAACTTCTCCTACATTTCTCAATGGATTTTGACCAAAACTTTCACAGAAGCTTTGTCATCAAGTGCCCTGGCGCTCACTAAATTCCCATGTTTCTTCAAGACATCATTCAAGTATTTTTTTAAAATTGTGAACAAACTTTTCTTGATATCGCACAAAACACCACACGCCAATATTGTTGACAAAAGAAAATGACAAGAGACGCAAAAATGTAAAAATTAAGCAAAAATAAAGTACTGTTTACCTTTCTAAAACATTTGGGAAAAAAAGGCGAATAGACAACATAAAATTTCTCAATCATTTTTGTTTGAGGAATATTAAAAAAGCCATAATTCCTCCTAAAAGTTCAATTAAAAACAAATGCCCCTTCATGACAAAGCTTCTGTGAAATATTTTGCTGAAAACCTGGTTGCATCGCATTGCGATGTTCCTTGTTTTCTTTATATTGGTGGTTGGAATTTCAGTAAAAAGTTGTGTAGCAACTTGCCAGCTTAACTGGTGGAGACAGACTTCATGTGCCCATCCATGCATTATTTTATGCACAAGCAGGCACCTGAGTAGAACTACCAGCGTTCTGTAAGCTAGATGAACAGCTTCTTTACATGAAGGAATCCAAAGTGCCTTGATACCTTTTACATAAAAAAGTTAAACAAATTGTTAGTAATATATTCTGATTTTCAGGGTTTTGAGTACA